AACACCACGTTGCACCACAGACTGTCCAGGAGTTGGCGGATGCTTTAGTCCAGGTCTGGGAGGAGATCCCTCAGGAGACCATCCGCCACCTCATCAGGAGCATGCCCAGGCGTTATAGGGAGGTCATACAGGCACGTGGAGGCCACACACACTACTGAGCCTCATTTTGACTTGTTTTATGGACATTACATCAAAGTTGGATCAGCCTGTAGTGTGGTTTTCCACTTTAATTTTGAGGGTGACTCCAAATCCAGACCTCCATGGGTTGATAAATTTGATTTCCATTGATCATTTTTGTGTGATTTTGTTGTCAGCACATTCAACTATGTAAAGAAAAAAGTATTTAATAAGATTATTTCATTCATTCAGATCTAGGATGTGTTATTTTAGTGTTCCCTTTATTTTTTTGAGAAGTGTATATATATATATATACAGTGGGGGAAAAAAGTATTTAGTCAGCCACCAATTGTGCAAGTTCTCCCACTTAAAAATATGAGAGAGGCCTGTAATTGTCATCATAGGTACACGTCAACTATGACAGACAAAATGAGAAAAAAAATTCCAGAAAATCACATTGTAGGATTTTTTATGAATTTATTAGCAAATTATGGTGGAAAATAAGTATTTGGTCAATAACAAAAGTTTCTCAATACTTTGTTATATACCCTTTGTTGGCAATGACACAGGTCAAACGTTTTCTGTAAGTCTTCACAAGGTTTTCACACACTGTTGCTGGTATTTTGGCCCATTCCTCCATGCAGATCTCCTCTAGAGCAGTGATGTTTTGGGGCTGTCACTGGGCAACACAAACTTTCAACTCCCTCCAAAGATTTTCTATGGGGTTGAGATCTGGAGACTGGCTAGGCCACTCCAGGACCTTGAAATGCTTCTTACGAAGCCACTCCTTCGTTGCCCGGACGGTGTGTTTGGGATCATTGTCATGCTGAAAGACCCAGCCACGTTTCATCTTCAATGCCCTTGCTGATGGACTCTAGCAAACTTCAGACGGGCCTGGACATGTACTGGCTTAAGCAGGGGGACACGTCTGGCACTGCAGGATTTGAGTCCCTGGCGGCGTAGTGTGTTACTGATGGTAGGCTTTGTTACTTTGGTCCCAGCTCTCTGCAGGTCATTCACTAGGTCCCCCCGTGTGGTTCTGGGATTTTTGCTCACCGTTCTTGTGATCATTTTGACCCCACGGGGTGAGATCTTGCGCGGAGCCCCAGATCGAGGGAGATTATCAGTGGTCTTGTATGTCTTCCATTTCCTAATAATTGCTCCCACAGTTGATTTCTTCAAACCAACCTGCTTACCTATTGCAGATTCAGTCTTCCCAGCCTGGTGCAGGTCTACCATTTTGTTTCTGGTGTCCTTTGACAGCTCTTTTGTCTTGGCCATAGTGGAGTTTGGAGTGTGACTGTTTGAGGTTGTGGACAGGTGTCTTTTATACTGATAACAAGTTCAAACAGGTGCCATTAATACAGGTAACAAGTGGAGGACAGAGGAGCCTCTTAAAGAAGAAGTTACAGGTCTGTGAGAGCCAGAAATCTTGCTTGTTTGTAGGTGACCAAATACTTATTTTCCACCATAATTTGGAAATAAATTCATTAAAAATCCTACAATGTGATTTTCTGGAGAAAAAAATTCTCAATTTGCTGTCATAGTTGACGTGTACCTATGATGAAAATTACAGGCCTCTCTCATCTTTTTAAGTGGGAGAACTTGCACAATTGGTGGCTGACTAAATACTTTTTCCCCCACTGTATATATACAGTGGGGAGAACAAGTATTTGATACACTGCCGATTTTGCAGGTTTTCCTACTTACAAAGCTTGTAGAGATCTGTAATTTTTATCATAGGTACACTTCAACTGTGAGAGACGGAATCTAAAACAAAAATCCAGAAAATCACATTGTATGATTTTTAAGTAATTCATTTGCATTTTATTGCATGACATAAGTATTCGATCACCTGCCAACCATTAAGAATTCCGGCTCTCACGGACCTGTTAGTTTTTTTTTAAGAAGCCCTCCTGTTCTCCACTCATTACCTGTATTAACTGCACCTGTTTGGACTCGTTACCTGTATAAAAGACACCTGTCCACACACTCAATCAAACAGACTCCAACCTCTCCACAATGGCAAAGACCAGAGAGCTGTGTAAGGACATCAGGGATACAATTGTAGATGTCACGCCCTGGCTCTGGGGACACTGTTATGTTGAGCCAGGGTGTGTAATTCTATGTTTGTATTTCTATGTTGGCCTGAGTGACTCCCAATCAGAGGCAACGAGTGTCAGCTGGTTGTCTCTGATTGGGAGCCATATTTAACTGTCTGTCTTTCACTTTGTGTTTGTGGTTTCTTGTTCTTATTTGGTTTGTTTATGTAACCAGAGACATCACGTTTTCGTCTGTTATTTTGATCGTGTGATCATACCCTAATAAATAGAAATATGTTCACCTTCAACGCTGCGCATTGGTCCTCCTCCTTAGACGAGCGTGACAGTAGACCTGCACAAGGCTGGGATGGGCTACAGGACAATAGGCAAGCAGCTTGGTGAGAAGGCAACAACTGTTGGCGCAATTATTAGAAAATAGAAGAAGTTCAAGATGACGGTCAATCACCCTCAGTCTGGGGCTCCATGCAAGATCTCACCTCGTGGGGCATCAATGATCATGAGGAAGGTGAGGGATCAGCCCAGAACTACACGGCAGGACCTGGTCAATGACCTGAAGAGAGCTGGGACCACAGTCTCAAAGAAACCCATTAGTAACACACTACGCCGTCATGTATTAAAACCTTGCAGCGCACGCAAGGTCCCCCTGCTCAAGCCAGCGCATGTCCAGGCCCGTCTGAAATTTGCCAATGACCATCTGGATGATCCAGAGGAGGAATGGGAGAAGGTCATGTGGTCTGATGAGACAAAAATAGAGCTTTTTGGTCTAAACTCCACTCGCCGTGTTTGGAGGAGGAAGAAGGGTGAGTACAACCCCAAGAACACCATCCCAACCGTGAAGCATGGAGGTGGAAACATCATTCTTTGGGGATGCTTTTCTGCAAAGGGGACAGGACGACTGCACCGTATTGAGGGGAGGATGGATGGGGCCATGTATCGCGAGATCTTGTGCTAGCTGTGCCACTAGAGATCCTGGTTCGAATCCAGGCTCTGTCGTAGCCGGCCGCGACCGGGAGCCCCATGGGGCGGCGCACAATTGGCCCAGCGTCATCCAGGGTAGGGGAGGGAATGGCCGGCAGGGATGTAGCTCAGTTGGTAGAGCATGGCGTTTGCAACGCCAGGGTTGTGGGTTCGATTCCCACGGGGGGTATGAAAAAAAATAAAATAATGTATGCACTCACTAACTGTAAGTCGCTCTGGATAAGAGCGTCTGCTAAATGACTAAAATGTAAATGTAAAATCTTGGCCAACAACCTCCTTCCCTCAGTAAGAGCATTGAAGATGGGTCGTGGCTGGTTCTTCCAGCATGACAACGACCCCAAACACACAGCCAGGGCAACTAAGGAGTGGCTCCGTAAGAAGCATCTCAAGGTCCTGGAGTGGCCTGGCCAGTCTCCAGACCTGAACCCAATAGAAAATCTTTGGAGGGAGCTGAAAGTCCATATTGCCCAGCAACAGCCCCGAAACCTGAAGGATCTGGAGAAGGTCTGTATGGAGGAGTGGGCCAAAATCCCTGCTGCGGTGTGTGCAAACCTGGTCAAGACCTACAGGAAACGTATGATCTCTGTAATTGCAAACAAAGGTTTCTGTACCGAATATTAAGTTCTGCTTTTCTGATGTATCAAATACTTATGTCATGCAATAAAATGCAAATTAATTACTTAAAAATCATACAATGTGATTTTCTGGATTTTTGTTTTAGATTCCGTCTCTCACAGTTGAAGTGTACCTATGATAAAAATTACAGACCTCTACATGCTTTGTAAGTAAGAAAACCTGCAGAAATCGGCAGTGTATCAAATACTTGTTCTCCCCACTGTATATATATATATATATATATATATATATATATATATATATATATATATATATATGTATATATGTGTGTGTGTATATGTATAAATTATTTTAAATATGAACACATTTTAATGAACACATTTCTAGTGGCAAATGTGTTAAAGTATAGCCAAATGTGTTAAATTATAGCCATGGTATGAAATGGATAATCAACTCTGGGCTCGATCCATTCTCTGGAAAATAATGCAACTCCGTGGAAGGTCAGTTCCACTCCGCTAGCGCGTCGTGGAACACACCCGTTCATTATTTTCCATAGAACGCATAGCCCCTCGTTGATTATCCGTTACAAACTGTATCTTTTGAATGAGTTAACCACCTGCAATGTTTTGAAATGCGGGCTTTTATTTTTAAGGTTTATACATTACCATAGAGAGGTGACATTATTGTCAGTGCTGCTAGCAATATAGCAGACCACAGTAGTTGTCAAGGCAATGGCGTGTTGTCAGCTTCAAAACAAACGCCACAGAGAAATGTGTGGCAGAAATGAGAGATCGGCCGCATATTTTTTTTGTTTTTCAATATTAATAGATGATCACTGCACCAAAAACCTTCGAATGGATAAATCGCACCTTTTGATATGGCTCTTTTCCCTCTATTTTTGGAGGTACGCAGCACGGACTGCTGAAACCGCAACGTAAACAAGAGAAGCTGGATGCAGTCATGGAAGTGTGATGTGTGTAGCTAGCTAATGTTACTGTGAATTCAACCCAAAGTACCAACAAGCTTCACATGTTTCGTCGCTTATTGATTTATTTTAGAGAAAATAATAACATTAACTAGCTAGTTGACAGGTACCGTAGAGGAGAATGGGGTTGACTATGCTATGATGATGATTGAGTCTGGACAGTCAGTATGGATTGTGCACTCATGCGGTAACTTTTATGACTTAACATAACCTACCATAGAGAACTGACTCCATTATTTAACACGTCAATTGACGTCTTTCTCGGTACCTGGGTCAAAAAGGTACTCAGAACAACAAACCAGTGATAAGCTTATGGTCCATCATCATATCAGGTCAAAGATGATTGAACCACAGGACTGCGACGACAGTGATGAACATGAAGCCGTTCCATTACCAACCCTACCCCCTATGCCACGAGATCGGATCCCGTTGCAGAAGAGCAACGTGTGCTCCCGCTCTTACTTCATGGTGGTGATGGTCTTTTTCCATTTATACATCATCAATGTCATTGCGCTACTCCTCTACGTGCACTACAACAACAGCCCTGGAGAGGTACTGGCCACCCCGAACAGGGACGAGGCAAGCGGTGGAAGCAATCATCACAAGCCCCCCGAGTTCAATCAGCAACAGTCAGATTCTGGCTTTAAGCAGGACATGTACCTTCCACGACTAGAGGGCATACGGGTGAGTTAACGCCTCGATCTCACCAACAGTGTTTTGCATTTTTGCCTTGCAGAGGCAGTTGTAATGCGTTCTGTGTGGTGCATACGTTAGATTTATCGAACGTAAGCGTCAAACTGTATGCATAGACGGCTTGACAGAAATGGTAGCAGAAGGTGAATGTTGAACTTTTGTTGCACACATATCCAGATGATGCTGCGTAGTAACACTATCGGTGTGATCAAGGCGTAAGGATGCCTGTGTAGTTCTGTGTCTGTTTAGCCCAGAGCTTAATCTTACAGACAGTAGTAGTCTAAGGTTCAGCGGTGGGCTAGTGTCTGTTGTGCTATTCTTCTATATGAATGGTGTGTTCCATGTCATCTTGATGGTGTGAAGTTATAGTCAGTGTTATTTTCTCTCAGGTGGGCCATGTCCAGAAGGTATCACTGGTGCCAGGCAATGTGCATGAGATGCGGACCCTGAGTCTGAAGCCCCTGCTGTTTGGTGAGAGCTCTTGCTACTAAACCTCTGCTCTGCATTGCACCCCTCTACACCAAGCTAGTGGCTGATGCTGTCGTTCCTCTCCAAGGTTCTGTGTTTACATTGTGTATGAAGCTTAATGTATGTGTGTGTGTGTGTGTGTGTGTTTGTGTGTGCGAGTGTGCATTCATACGTGCATCTGTGTTTGTGTAAGTGTGTGCGTGCGTGCACTCATACGTGTGTTTGGGTGCGTGCAGGCGTTCAAACGGGTGTTTACGATGTGTCTCTCTCTCCAGAGATCCCAGGGTTCCTGTCTGAAGAGGAGTGTCGTGTGGTGGTGCAGCTGGCCCAGCTGAAGGGCCTGATGGAGAGCCAAGTGATGGTGCCTGAGGGACAGGAGGAGCTGACGGAGCAGCTCAACCTCAGCCCAGAGGAGATCTTCAACCTGCTGGACCTCAACCAGGATGGACAGCTACAACTCCAGGAGGTGTGTGGGTGGGCAAGCGAGCATGTGTGTCTGTGAGCAGAGTGAAGTAAGTAAGTAGCCTTGCACAAATGCGAGCCGGAACGGCTCATAGGAGCAGGAGCCTATATCCTGTTTCTGTAGCGTGAGGTTGTTTGATTTACAAGTACACCCCCTGGACAGGACGCTAGTCTATCGTAGGGCCTCAACCCCAATCTATCCCAATCCATCTCCTAACACTAGAACCGCAAAAGCAGTCATTTTGACTGCTCATGAATAAAAATATATATTACTCTGCCATTTTTAAAGTCATGCCCCCCTTCGTCCTTGACTTTTTCTAAATAAGTCTATATAACACACAGCCGTTGTTAAAATCTTAAAATCACAAACAGAACTGGAGTTAGAACTAGTTTTAGGAGGGCATGTCATTTTTTTGAATTATTTTCCCCAGTTGCCTCCTTCTCCTGACAGTGGAAGGTGCTGTGCCAAGTTGATAATCACCTCGATAATTGCCTCGCAACTGAACCTAAACTATACCAAAAGTAATTTCACACAAATAACAACAGATTAAATAAATGAAGTAAAGTATGATGGGGGAGAATGGGTGAGTTGATGAGTGAGGGGAATAATTATGTAATCACCAATTGTCAATGAAGAACAGGGCGGGCCATTCTATTGTATTGATCCATTCTAATTCTAATCTCAAAATGGTATGTACCCTATATCAGTCCTACAAATCCAAGCAGTTTTATCAGTCTACTCTGGCCTACTTGGAGTACACAATGAGAGCATGCCTAATTTACAATGGCAAGAAGAACAAAACTTTCTTTGGAGAAACCATGTCATGGGATCGGTTCAGCGCTACCTCCGTTTTTATGACAAAGAAACAAGAACACGACGCCTGGAAACAGACATTCCCAATGGTATCCAACATTTAGAACAAGTTTGTACAGAACCGCATTACATGTTACAAACCAGGAGAGGACATCCCTGTTGATGAACAATTGTCTGCACAACCCCCGGGGAGGAGACAGTGCCAGGTGGCCAGATGCACTAAGAACAGAACCCAAGACACCTGTGTTGCCTGCAAGCGACGTGTTTGTGGTACGCGTGTCAAGCAAGTGAAAGTGGCAAAGATTTGTGTCGACTGTTAGGACAAGCGATAACAGCGAAATGAAATCCAACTGATGCCACTGCGTGAAGACGCCATGTAAGCAAGAGCTGACAATAATTGATAATTTTTTACTGCTGTCATATCGACACTTATATTCATTATAATGCCATTATTGCTTTTGTGCTGATTTTCACCATCCATCACGCACACTTGGCACTTATAATGATGTTTAGGCTACTGATGTTTTCATAATTTGACCGCGCCTCTTGCTGATCGTGCTTCTTTAATTTTGTCGTTATAAAAATCAGCGGTTACCGTGTTCCAGCACATATGCTTTCTCTTTCATTATTGTAACAAAGGCACTCCACGAATAAAATTGAACACGTAAATGTTTTTGTTTTTACATTAAAAGTAACAACTTACAGTAACATAAACTAATGAAAATGCTATTGTGTTATAAAGAAAAGTATTATAATGTTGCCTTTGACCTTCATAAACACAACCAAATGATTATTTATGTGATAGCGTATATGCCATGTATTAATTATACTGTTAGAGTGTTGGAGTCAGAATGACTGCTTATTAGCTTGAAGGGGGATCCCTCGAGGCCCAGCGGTTCTAGTGTTAATGCTGAGTGCTAAGCAGAGACTCATCGGGTCCCATTCTTTAACAGTCTTTGGTATGACTCGGCCAGGGAACGAACTCCTGAACCTTCCAATCTCAGGGCGGACACTCTAACGACAAGGCCACTGAGTGGAGTGAACATGCATCATTAATCATAGTGTGGTGGTACTGGGGCAGCAAAATATCAATTTATTTTGTTCCTTTATAATGGATCAATAAATATGTATTGTATTCTCTTCTATATGTGTGTGTAATGTGTGATTTATGCATGTTCCTGGGCCTTCTACAGATATTGACACATTCACGAGTGAGGGATGGGATCTGGCTGACACCAGAGAATCTGAGAGAGATCTATGCTGGACTGAAGGCTGACCCTGACAGTAACGGTAAGAGACTGTCATTCTCAACACGGGCCTCTTTGTGATAGTTAGGCCCCTCTGTCTCTGTGCATACAGAGCTAATCTTTTCATGCTGCTCATATTGGATATCTGTGTCAGTATATGACCCCTGTATCTGTATGACCCACTTTGTGGCTGTAAGTGACTCTTATCTTTGTGTCTGTGTTAGGCTTACTGAGCCTGGAGGAGTTCAGGCGTCTGGGCAGTGATGCGTTCCAGCGGTTCTTGCAGCAGCGCGGGGTGAAGAGCAGCCAGCTGGTCAGGAACAGCAGGCACACCTGGCTGTACCAGGGACAGGGGGCACACCAGGTTCTCCGAGACCTCAAGAAGAGGTGAGGAGAGCGTCATTGTCAACTGTTGCCCTGGCCTCTGCACTGGCCACTCTCTCTGCTGACCCCTCTCTCTCCTCTCTATCCTTTATTCCCTCTGTTATGGGACTATTCCATGTTTTTATTGACGTCTCGTTTTGTATGGAAAAGAGTGGTGGGATTTTAGTGATATTGTTCGCATCGCATGTGTATATTTTTGTATTTTATTAGGATCCCCATTAGCTGTTGCAAAAGCAGCAGCTACTCTTCCTGGGGTCCACACAAAACATGAAACATGACATAATACAGAACATTAATAGACAAGAACAGCTCAAGGACAGAACTACATACATTTAAAGCGTCACACATAGCCTACATATCAATACATACACACAAAATAACTAGGTCAAATAGGGGAGAGGCGTTGTGCCGTGAGGTGTTGCTTTATCTGTTTTTAGAGAAAAACAATGGCATAGAGGAATTCTTTTTCCAAATGTGGACAAAGCCAAGTACTGTATGTTCAAACACATGAATAAACGGTTGGAGTAAACACCATGACCAAGGTTATCAGAATCTGATGTTAAGGACTTTTGTCCCTCTTTCTCCCCCTCCGTTTGTCCTCCATAGGGTGGCCCGTCTGACCCGGCTGCCCTCTGCTTTGGTGGACCTGAGTGAGCCCCTCCAGGTGGTACGTTATGAGCAGGGGGGTCACTACCACGCCCACCACGACAGCGGCCCTGTCTACCCTGAGACCGCCTGCACACACACACGCCTCGCTGCCAACACCTCCACACCCTTTGAGACCTCCTGCAGGTGAGAGAGAGCTGTGTTGAGTCAGCCAATGCCTTGTCCTTGGCCTTGTTTTGATAATACTGTATATGGGAGAGTCAGGTTAGATATCATTCAGATTAAGATGGTTAGATTGAGTGTTATTGTGTGATAATGTAGTGTAACGTCTGTGTACGTTAGGTGGATGTGTTTGTGATAGACTGTGGTGTATGGCTTTTGTGTAACTTAGCTCATATCAATATGTCAGGTAGTTTGTGACTAAGGCTTACATTTCCTTGGTGTGGTTGGTCTGTGTGTGTATGTGTGTTCCAGTATGTGTGTGTATTAAATGTGTGTGTTGCACACCCAGGTACATCACAGTTCTCTTCTACCTGAACTCTGTTGAGGGGGGCGGGGAGACCGCGTTCCCTGTGGCAGACAACAGGACCTATGAGGAAGTGGTGCGTTATTGTCTGTGTGCCTCTGTGTGTGTGTTCTTGTATGTTTATAGTAGGGTTTGGAATTGCCACGGACCTCACGTTCCGTTATTATCACGATACTTAGGTGCCGCTACGATATGTATTGCGATTCTCACGATTCTATATGGATTGCAATTCGATACTTTGATTTTATTGCGATTCAATGTTCCAAACATATTGCTAACCATATGTCTGCTGCAGAGGGACGAGACAGCATGAGAAAACACGTTTTGATCAGTCATGGAAATAAAAGTGCTGAAAACAAATTGGCAGGTATAGCCAACTAGTGCAAAAATAATATTGTGATATTGTCAAAACAATACGATATATCGTAAAAAATAATATCCCGATATTTAACTGTATCAATTTCTTCCCCCCATCACTAGTTTCTATATCTATATTAAACATTTGCATGTTTGTCGGTGTATAGGTATGTGTATCGATATGTTTTTCTCAACGGTATTAATGAGTGATTGTGTTTGTGTTTTCAGTCTCTGATCCAGAACAATGTGGATCTGATGGACACAAGGAAGAACTGTGATAGGAGCAACCTGAGGGTAAAGCCTATTAAAGGGACAGCCGTGTTCTGGTACAACTACCTTTCTGACGGACAAGGTACAGACTGTACACAGTACTCCCTCACACATAGCACGACCCTTCTATACTGAACAAAAATATAAACGCAACATGTATAGTGTTGGTCCAATGTTTAGTGAGCTGAAATGAAAGATCCCAGAAATGTTCCATATGCACAAAAAGCTTATTTCTCTCAAATTTTGTTCACACATTTGTTTACATCAATGTTAGTGAGCATTTCTCCTTTGCCAAGATAATCCATCCACCTGAAAGGTGTGGCATATCAAGAAGCTGATTAAACAGCATGATCATTACACAGGTGCACCTTGTGCTGGGGACAATAAAAGGCCACTCTAAAATGTGCAGTTTTGTCACACAGCACAATGCCACAGATGTCTCAAGTTGTGAGGGAGCGTGCAATCGGCATGCTGACTGCAGGAATGTCCACCAGAGCTGTTGCCAAATAATACGTTCATTTCTCTACCATAAGCCTCCTCCAACCTCGTTTTAGAGAATTTGGCAGTACGTCCAACCGGTCTCACAACCGCAGACCACGTGTAACCACGCCAGCCCAGGACCTCCACATCCGGCTTCTTTACCTGCGGCATCGTCTGACATCAGCCACCCAGACAGCTGATAAAACTGAGGAGTATTTCTGTCTGTAATAAAGCTATTTTGTGGGGAAAAACTCATTCTGATTGGCTGGGCCTGGCTCCCCAGTGGGTGGGCCTGGCTCCCAAGTGGGTGGGCCTATGCACTCCCAGGCCCACCCATGGATGCGCCCCTGCCCAGTCATGTGAAATCCATAGATTAGGGCCTAATTTATTTATTTCAATTGACTGATTTCCTTATAATGAACTGTAACTAACAATAAAATCATTGAAATTGTTGCAGGTTGCGTTTATATTTTTGTTCAGTATATAAACACACTACTATAGCTTAATTACTGCCCCTCAGACAGGATGCACAACTTATTGTACACACATAGTCATTGACCCCATTTCATTCATTCACTGCTGCTCAGGTCCTTATTTAAAAACTGAAGCCTTTGTAGTTTTGATGAAGGTTAGGCCCACTGTTGTAGAAACACACTGAAAGAGATTCCGCCTACAAGTCCACATGGTAGTTATCAGTTCTGCTGTTATCAGAGCTGCTGTTGAATACACATACTAACTGCTCTCTGTTCCCCACAGGCTGGGTGGGGGAGCAGGATGAGTACTCTCTGCACGGCGGCTGTGTGGTCACCCGCGGGACTAAGTGGGTGGCCAATAACTGGATCAACATCGACCCAGACTACCAGCGCCAGGCTCGCTACCAGCAGCTGGTGTCACAGCAGAGGGAAGAGGGGGAGGGGGAGCAGCACAGCCCTGAACAACTACAAACTGATGACTCCCATCAGGAACTGTAGCTGTACTGCTGTAGCCTAGAAACCAAAAACAATTACCTCCCCTTAGGTCCACTAATTACACTAGTTCCAACCTCAGAAGAGTTATGAGTGGTCCAGTCATTGTAGTTAGTGGGCTTGGACATCCCACCCCTCTTCCTCAGCCCAAAGATACCACAAAGATACCCCACTACCCACCTCCCCAACCTAACTTGACTCTGTCCTGCTGTGCACAACCTCCCTTGACGACACCTCTGCGGCCAGTACATAGAGAGATATTTGATATTCACGGACTGTGGTCACTTTGGATTTATGCAACTGAGAAGGGGTAAAAAAAATCTAATGTTGTTGTTCAGATGTCCTTGTTTGTTCACTGTTAGTTTTGTTTCCTCAACTGAATTTATGCATATTTCCAAACTTTACATGATATACTTATGCGCAATTTTACCTTCTGTGTGTCACAAAACATTAATGTTACTGACCATGCTACTATTTGCATGTACGTACCGTCGTATGAGCTGTTACGTTAGACTTTGTACAGGTTTTTACTGTGTCATGATAAAGATAGCCATAGACTCCAGCCACTAGACTAGAGAGATGACTTTATAGACTGTGTCAGCTGTGATCCTCTGTTTTTTAGCTTGACGATGTCTGTCATCACCCAAAGACCCCCCCCATCTTCCAATGTGATGAAGCATGTTAACTGTTATTTAAGCGTTGCACAGATTTACTTCATTTATTTATTTGTTAGTTTGTTTATTTATTATACATTTTTTATGTATATACATATATATATATATATATTTATTTGTATGTCACTTGCATCCATTACTTCTCAACCTACTACAGGTATTGAATTTCTATTTATTTTAAGTATTATTTATTACTTATTTATTCCATATTTTTCACTTTCCACGTTGTGTTGTTCACCTTGTTTGGCGTTTGTTTCAAAATGCACTGAATCACTTTCCTCTGCTCCAAATAAAGTTTACTTTTGAATTATAGAGAGTTTTTTCTCTCATTTCAGTGGAGTCACAGAGGAGGGAGGGAGGCCCATTGCCAAAGCTGTTCGTGACAACACTGGCAGACCCATAGAAACTTTCAGGATTTTATTGAAATTTCATAACATGTAAAGTATATAAATTAATTTAAAAAAATATATACAAAATATATTAAATGACAAAGCTGTAAAACATTATCCCAAATATAACCCATAAACTAAGTGAATACTGTTGGTGTTTAATATGAGGGTTTCAGCATAAAATATCCGTAATTCTCTTCCACTTTTATTTATTTTATGTGGTTTTTGTAAATGTTTTGGAGCCAAACTCTTGGCAGTTGTGAAAAAAAAGTTGGAAGAGTTGCAGAGTTAATTGGCAATTATGGCATTGTTGATTAGACACTTTTTATTCATTAATTAAGCTGTTTTCTCTTAAATCATATGGTCTATCCACTAGAAACTCGTGGACAATATGAACACATAACGATTATATTTTTTACACTTCATATGAATACATTTTATAAAAGTTATGTAAATATAAATTACCTAAATTACCATAGATTAACAGAGATTACCTGTTAATTACCCAAAATACCGAAGATTTCGGAAACTTTGGTAAATTATCAGTAGTTTTGCAACCCTATGTTGGAGTTTACTGTACCTTTCACTTTTTGTAGCCATTTATTTAATCATTAAGCATTTTATTGAAATGTTGATACATTGTAAGGTTTCATACACTGATCTTGCTGCAAGAAAAATAGATTACTTCATTAGAATTACCATATATATACACAGTATATACCTGTATACTATATTCCCAACTGAAAGTCACTTTTCAAAAGGATCAAATATACAAAGACGTCAGACTTCAGTAAGGGTCCTCAGAGTTTGGTGCTGCACTGCATCTCCTGCAATGACATATTTACAGACATGGTTAACTTGTTGAAAGCAATATACAGTCTTCCATATTGTATCTTCTATTGAACTGTATTGAATGATTGTATTGTATCTGTTTTTGCATGCAGATGTTCACGTCTCTCACCAGAGAATACTCATAGCTGGGCGTTGATGTTCCCTGGTGGCCAAGGCAGTGCAGCACAGCATCATGGACAGTAGCAAACAGACGTCCTTTAGTGATGGACTCAGAGAAGAACCCTCCCAGCTCTAACTGCTCCACCACAGACACTGGATAGAACAAGTGAGAGTTATTTACACATCTTATTCAAAGTAATGAGTTGTTCATTTATTAGCTACAGATAGGGGGGTTACTTACTCTGACACCCAGCCATGTAGACAGTAACATCAATCTCACCAAAGTCGTGGAATATCTGTCAAAACAGGACAGGAGGATAACCACTTCTGTAGTTTTCCACTTTTAACATCTTAAACTCTTACTGTATCTCAACCTACCAAACCATTGTCATCCTAATATTTTTCTCCCCTATACCTTTCATTGAGGGCACCTACATTCCTGATTTTCTTCTCTCAATACAAGGCCATCTCTTGTATCTCATAATTTCCATGCCCTCATCATCACCCACTCACATTTCCCATGGTCTTGATGGCCACGGTGTCGATGAAGTTAGCCGTGGATAGGTCTAGGATGATGGAGTGGATGTCCCAGGTCCACTTGCCCAGCGAACCCAGGGAGACCTTATCCAGTTCCCGGCTCAGGGTATCCTCACTACTGGACCCCAGAGTGGTAGTGTCCCCATCTTGCAGTTCCGACACTGCCCCCAGGGTGGCACTGTCTGGGTCTTTACCGCCCTTCAGGTACTCCCAGCTGCAGTGATCATCGGGCGTGCGGGGCGTTGTTGGCATGACGAACACGGTGCCGTTCTCGCGGCCGCACCAACCTGGTTGGTCGTCTCCCAGTGACTCCTCCCTGTCTCCATCTCCGCCCTCCGGTTCCTTCCGTTGCCCCGCCTCCTCCTCTACAGAGAAGACTCCTGTCTTCTGCTCTGCCGCTCTCAGAGCATGCCTCTGCACAGTCCACACATAGACAACACGTTAATTTACACCACGTTTGTAAAACCTGCCATATAAGGAGATAGAGAAAGAGCAGCATCATGGCTCTCTGTCATCTAAATAATGTATAGATTAGTTGAGATATGATGTAGATATGATGAGTAGATTTATACTGTACAAGTTTATGTATGTCCAGATGGATTCCTGAGTAGTTCGGAATGTGTTGTTCAAATGTATATGAATGGCGGTTCCAGTGTCTCACCTGTCTCATGGCCTCCCTCCTAGCTCTTCTCTCAGCTCTCTTCTCTCTGCGTCTCTGCTTGGCCTCCTGTCTTCTCTTGTAGATGATCATCTTGCTGATATCAAGCCCGCTCTAAACAGAGTTACTCCATCTGTTATCATCACATCAAACGCATGCTCCAAATGTAGGCCTACAGTCACGAAATACGAGGCTTGCGTCTCAAATGGCACCCTATTCCCTATACACTGAGTATATAAAACATGAAGAACACCTGCTCTTTCCATGAGATAGACTGACCAGGTGAAAGCTATGATCCCTTATGGATGTCACTTGTTAAATCCACTTCAATCAGTGTAGATGAAGGGGAGGAGACAGGTTAAAGAAGGATTTTTTAACTTTGAGACAATTGGGACATGTCCCCCCCACATTCTGAAATTGCATTTTTGTCCCCCCCAGTTTTATCATTGGAATGTGATACAAAACGAGGCAACGGTGTGCTTTAGGATCATGCGGATGCCTCCGAGCGGTCGGTTAGGCTGTTTGGAGTGTTTATCCGACTGGATTAAAACAATTATAATAATTATGTCCCCCCCACTTCTAAAACCAAAGTTGCGCTCCTGGAGACATGGATTGTGTATGTGTGCCATTCAGAGGGTGAATTGGCAAGACAAAAAAATGTAAGTGCCTTTGAACGGGGAGCGCTTTCGACACCCTGTAGAGCATGAGGTGCAAATGAGTATCACATGAAGTGCAAATGAGTGTCACTGTCAGAGTTGTATGGAAAAGGGCACCTTTTCTTTTAGCGCCTCCAGGTAGAGGTCAGCGTTGGCGAAGTACACGGTGGCAGAGGAGTGGAAGATAGTGATGCCAGGGACCTCTCTCACCTGCCACACACACACAAACAAACGACAAGGTTATGGTTACCCACTGACCGTGCCACCACTACCTCTCTTCCTGCTGCCTCCCAAGGTCTGCTGTCTCACCCATAGAAATAGAATGATTATATTCTATTGTCTCTCACCTCTCTGTGGGTCTCCATGTCCAAGTAGAGCTCTGTCCCGGGAATGTGTCCCAGAACTGAGTACTTCGGACTGAAAGAGAGAACAGCAGAGTTGGGTCACCACCAGAGCACTCCAGTTCTCTGTCAGAGCTACTGTATAATTATTAAATGGATGCTGTTTTTTTGTTCTGAATTCTTTATCAAATGTTGGTTTTTGGCTTCCAATCACTGACTTTGGCCTGAAAGAGCTGTTTAAAAGTGCCAAGATGAATTGCCACCTGGCACCTGCTGATGCTTTGCTTTTTGGTTTGTTTGTAAAACACACAGCCACATGAAAACTATACAGTGTTGAAGAAGTGGAAGAGCAGTCTTACAGCTGGGTCCTGAAGATAACAGTGAGCACAGCGAAGGTGATGGAGGCACCAAGGCCCATGTCCAGGTTAAACAGCAGTGTAGATACCCAGGTCACCAGCCACACCACCTGGGAACAGGGTAATGTTTATGAATGGGTTATGAATGTGTGATGACGCCCTTGCGTAGATACCCTGCAAACAAAGTGTTACTGTGTTTTTCAATTATATTCAACTATATCGACCATTCACAACCAGAGAAGATGTGTGTAATATGTATAAGGAAGTACATATCTCCTCTCACCAGATCAACTTTGCTGCTCCTCCACAGAGTGATGATGTCATAGTACTGCTTGAACATGCCCTTCAGGTTCACAAAGACGATGGCTGCGAGCACTGCCTGAAACACACAGAAACATAAGAGTGGCTACAACCAGTATAAAACGCACACACACTTTCGAAACCTCATACTTCACCCGCAAACACTTAAATAGATATATAACGACGTAGAAAGAATACATACAAACAGCATTCTATCTCCTATCACACACTCTCCCACACACACACATACAGTATATAGCTGAAGTAGAGACATACCTTTGGCAGCTCCTGGAACAGAGGCCCGAGCTTCAGCACAGTCACCAACACTATCACAGCAGCGGCCATTCCAGCCATCTGCAGTAAAGACATTGGACATCACATCGATTTACGCAATCAATACATCATTTGTATCTTTCATCTGTCACAAAACATAGATTCATGTTGCTTTTACATAACCTACACACATTCATTGTGTGTATGCATTTACATGCATGACTATAGCATTAATATAGCAAACACTCCTGTATTATTCAGAATGGTGTACAGTAGGAGTCCCGCAGTGTTCCTCTCACCTGTGTCTTGCCTCCAGTACTCTCCTGGATGAGACTACGGGACATGGAGGAACAGACAGCATAGCACTGGAAGAATCCCCCCACAGCATTACTGAGACCCAGCGCCACCAGCTCCTACAGCAGGGAAATGGATGGAGAGGAGGAAGACAGCAGAAAAGGGGATAGGAGAGGATGGACGAGGTGAGTGTGTGTCTAGTGAGTGTAACAGACAGAGCTTTGTTTGGACTGTATTGCAGAGCGATTTCAGTTATGGTGGCCTATGAGGCGCGACAAGATCAAATGAATTCATGGGAAGATGGTACAGCTTGTGTAGATTGTAAGAGATTCAGTTGCTTTGATGGTGTTGGAACAATGTATGATAAGAGGGATTGTCTCACCTGGTTGCTGTCCACCTTGTAGCCATGTTTTAGTGCAAACGTCTTCCCAAGAGAGATGGAGATGGCATAGCCCACAATAGCTAAGGCAAACGCATCCCCCATGACCTCTCTAAACAGGCTAGCATCAGGTAACCTGGGGGCAGCCAGGCTGAATAAAGCAGAGGATATGGAGGTCAGGCTAGTACCAGAGGTTTCAACCATGAACCAGCAGGGGTCGGTAATAAGAATTAACAACATACCAGGAAGAGAAGCGGTCAACAGGAAGAGGTCAAGAAAAAGTCATGAGGATTACAATTTGACAGATTAACAAGGTATTAATGATTATTACATGTTTCTCTCTCTCACACACAAACAAACACATTCACACACGTTATATCACTCACACACACGCATACTTTTGAGTTAAAAAAACACTATTTTTCACTCTAAATACTGACCCGCTGGGAATTTCCCCCACTACTGAGATTGTGTAGTTGCCGTTTAGGTGGGTGTAGGACGATATCACCGTCGCTGCCACAATCTTTATCAGAATAGAAACACTCTTTTCAATACAACTATGTCACAATCTTCTCAATACAACTGGACAAATAATGGGAATTTTGCAAGGGTAACATCACATCAATCATTTAGTGAACATACTGTAGGTTGGGTCAATCAGAAGCCAGAAGTGTCCCTAATCATTAGTTATGAATCACCTGTTTCTGCTGTGTACGACACTAATACAGTACATTGGAACGGTCACATATAGTTGACTCAGCTCTTCTGTTTCAGACTAGGCCCATTCTTCTACATTTCAGTTTTTCTATGCAGGAGCCAAAACTTGTCAACGCGAACTAGACTAGACAGAAAAAACATCTCTGACATACCCAAACGAATATAACCAATGTCAAATATTTCAAGTTCAAATGTATCTTTGACCAATCAAGATAGAAAAAGAAAGATCAATAAATGTTTGTAGAAAAACATAAGGAAGAGACTGACAGAACGACAGGGGATGTAGATTAACAATAGACCGTAAGACGGTGAGACAGGGGACAGAGTATCATAGTAACTGACTGTGGTGAGCTCCACTGGGATGGGCACGGGCAGTTTGGCGCTGATGGCAGAGTTGATTTCCTTGGCTGCGATGAGAAACACCATGGATACACTACTGACCACCAGTGTGGGGAGATGGGTCTGAGGTAGCTTGGAGCACACCTCCACAAGGGTCTGTGGACAAGAGTTACACCAATATTATATTAGTTTAGGGTTTTGTGCTGGGGTTGAGTTAAAGTGTCACACACACGCATGGTACTCACATACACCAGTGACAGGGGTCCACTGAAGCGTGTGGTTGACACCCCAAAGAGCTGTGCGATCACAGCAACCACAGCGTGAGCAGCAGCTGCTGTTGTGTAGGCTCGCACCAGTGGCTCTGACAGGTACGTACCCACAAACCCAAACTTCACCAGCCCCAGCACCACCTACAAGTTGAAGCATGAACATTCAAACACAACATATTCCTACTGTCAGTCATAGTAAGGATAAATGATCTACGAATGCCTGATTTGTGATATCTTGTATTGTATTGAATTGGATTGCATTGGATTGAAGCATAATGTAGCATATTTTATTGTCTTGTGTTATGTTGTATTGTATTGTTTTTAGTTTTTATTGATGACCTGGATGAGTCCTCCTAGGACGGTGGTAGCAGCAGCGACCTGCACCCTGTACGAGTCCCTGGCAGTGATGTTCACCTCAGTCAGGTTAGTCCCATTCATCATGACCAGGAAGTTCCTGTCTGGAGCCAACCTCTCTGTCACACTTCCAACCATGATACTGAGCACCGCAAACGTACCTGCACACAAACACAACATAACGACATCTGTGTATGTACATTTGTATGTACAAAAAGAATTGGACTGACTGGGAGTGTTAATCTTAGTCCTTATCAACCAATCACATACTACATATTTCTGTCCACTTGCCTATGGAAATATGTCTGGACGTCCCAAAGAAAAAGTAGACCAATGCAGGGTAGAGGGATGTGTACAGCCCAAACACTGGGGGCAAGGAGGCCAGCAATGCATATGCCATACCTGCACAGTGTATAGAGGAATCTAGTTAAAACAGCCTCACTAGCCAATAAATCATTCAACTATTATTTTCCACTAGGTCTGTACATATTCTGTACATGAAGTTCACATTATGACCATTGAAATGCATGTTGTTATTAAGGATACTAGTCTTTTGTGATTAACCCATGGGATTGTGGTCTTACTGTACCTTGTGGCAAGTGCATGATGCCCACACTGATACCAGAGATGAGGTCCGGCATGCCATAATCCCAGATAGAGTAGCGGGGCAGCCAGTAGAGTACAGGCAGACAGCCCACCACACTACGCTTCAGCCTGGGTACAGTACATCTGGGAAGGGGGGGCAGGGGGGTGACAGACAGACAGAAGAGGGATAGGGTCAGGGTTGAGGGTTAGGGATGAACCGGGATGTGGACATTAAATTAGGGTTGGGGTTGAGGTTAAGGTTAAGGTTGAACCGGGTGTGTAGTGGAGTGGGTCAAGAGCTTCAAGTTCCTCGGTGGCCATATCACTAAGGGCTTATCATGGTTCAAACAAACCAACACAGTCGTGAAGAGGGCACGACAAAGCCTAGGTAGGAGTAAAGTGACTAGGCAATCAGGATAGATAATAAACAGAGTAGCAGAAGCGTATGTGAAGAGTGTGAAAGTGTGTGTCTGTGAGTGTGTGTGTGTGTGGTGTCAATATGCATGTGTGTGTGAGTGTATGTAGTGTGTGTGTGTGTATATACAGTGGGGAAAAAAAGTATTTAGTCAGCCACCAATTGTGCAAGTTCTCCCACTTCAAAAGATGAGAGAGGCCTGTAATTTTTATCACAGGTACACGTCAACTATGACAGACAAAATGAGAAAAAAAATCCAGAAAATCACATTGTAGGATTTGTAATGAATTTATTTGAAAATTATGGTGGAAAATAAGTATTTGGTCAATAACAAAAGTTTCTCAATACTTTGTTATATACCCTTTGTTGGCAATGACACAGGTCAAACATTTTCTGTAAGTATTCACAAGGTTTTCACACACTGTTGCTGGTGTATTGGACCATTCCTGCATGCAGATCTCCTCTAGAGCAGTGATGTTTTGGGGCTGTCGCTGGGCAACACAGACTTTCAACTCCCTCCAAAGATTTTCTATGGGGTTGAGATCTGGAGACTGGCTAGGCCACTCCAGGACCTTGAAATGCTTCTTACGAAGCCACTCCTTCATTGCCCGGGCAGTGTGTTTGGGATCATTGTCATGTTGAAAGACCCAGCCACGTTTCATATTCAATGCCCTTGCTGATGGAAGGAGGTTTTCACTCAAAATCTCACAAAACATGGCCCCATTCATTCTTTCCTTTACACGGATCAGTCGTCCTGGTCCCTTTGCAGAAAAACAGCCCCAAAGCATGATGTTTCCACCCCCAAGCTTCACAGTAGGTATGGTGTTCTTTGGATGCAACTCAGCATTCTTTGTCCTCCAAACACGACGAGTTGAGTTTTCACCAAAAAGTTCTATTTTGGTTTCATCTGACCATATGACATTCTCCCAATCCTCTTCTGGATCATCCAAATGCACTCTAGCAAACTTCAGACGGGCCTGGACATGTACTGGCTTAAGCAGGGGGACACGTCTGGCACTGCAGGATTTGAGTCCCTGGCGGCGTAGTGTGTTACTGATGGTAGGCTTTGTTACTTTGGTCCCAGCTCTCTGCAGGTCATTCACTAGGTCCCCCCGTGTGGTTCTGGGATTTTTGCTCACCGTTCTTGTGATCATTTTGACCCCACGGGGTGAGATCTTGCGTGGAGCCCCAGATCGAGGGAGATTATCAGTGGTCTTGTATGTCTTCCATTTCCTAATAATTGCTCCCACAGTTGATTTCTTCAAACCAAGCTGCTTACCTATTGCAGATTCAGTCTTCCCAGCCTGGTGCAGGTCTACAATTTTGTTTTTGGTGTCCTTTGACAGCTCTTTGGTCTTGGCCATAGTGGAGTTTGGAGTGTGACTGTTTGAGGTTGTGGACAGGTGTCTTTTAAACTGATAACAAGTTCAAACAGGTGCCATTAATACAGGTAACGAGTGGAGGACAGAGGAGCCTCTTAAAGAAGAAGTTACAGGTCTGTGAGAGCCAGAAATCTTGCTTGTTTGTAGGTGACCAAATACTTATTTTCCACCATAATTTGCAAATAAATTCATTAAAAATCCTACAATGTGATTTCCTGGATTTTTTTCTTCTCAATTTGTCTGTCATAGTTGACGTGTACATAAGATGAAAATTACCGGCCTCTCTCATCTTTTTAAGTGGGAGAACTTGCACAATTGGTGGCTGACGAAATACTTTTTTTCCCCACTGTATATACACACACACACACTACATACACTCACACACACATGCATATTGACACCACACACACACACACTCACAGACACACACTTTCACACTCTTCACATACGCTTCTGCTACTCTGTTTATTATCTATCCTGATTGCCTAGTCACTTTACTCCTACCTACATGTATAGTACAGTATTTTTACTGGAGGTGTGTTGGGTCATTGTCCTGTTGAAAAACAAATGATAGTCCCACTAAGCCCAAACCAGATGGGATGGTGTATCACTGCAGAATGCTGTGGTAGCCACGCTGGTTAAGTATGCCTAAATAACAGACAGTGTCACCAGCAAAGCACCCCCACACCATAACACCTCCTCCTCCATGCTTTACGGTGGGAAATACACATGCGGAGATCATCCGTTCACCAACACCGCGTCTCACAAAGACACGGTGGTTGGAACCAAAAATCTCCAATTTGGACTCCAGACCAAAGGACACATTTCCACCGGTCTAATGTCCATTGCTCGTGTTTCTTGGTCCAAGCAAGTCTCTTCTTATTATTGGTGTCCTTTAGTAGTGGTTTCTTTGCAGCAATTCAACCATGAAGGCCTGAACAGTTGATGTTGAGATGTGTCTGTGACTTCAACTCTGTGAAGCATTTATTTGGGCTGCAATTTCTGAGGCTGGTAACTTATCCTCTGCAGCAGAGGTAACTCTGGGTCTTCCATTCCTGTGGCGGTCCTCATGAGAGACAGTTTCATCATAGCGCTTGATGGTTTTTGCGACTACACTTGAAGAAACTTTAAAAGTTCCTGAAATGTTCCGTATTGACTGACCTTCATGTCTTAAAGTAATGATGGACTGTCGTTTCTCTTTGCATATTTGAGCTGTTCTTGCCATAATATGTACTTGGTCTTTTACCAAATAGGGCTATCTTCTGTATACCCCCCTACCTTGTCACAAATGCTCAAACGCATTAAGAAGGAAAGAAATTCCACAAATTAACTTTTAAGAAGGCACAACTGTTAATTGAAATGCATTCAAGGTGACTACCTCATGAAGCTGTTTGAGAGAATGCCAAGAGTGTGCAAAGCTGTCATCAAGGCAAAGGGTGGCTATGTAAAGAATCTCAAATATAAAATATATTTTGATTAGTTTAACACTTTTTTGGTTACTACATGATTCCATATGTGTTATTTCATAGTTTTGATGTCTTCACTATTATTCTACAATGTAAAAAATAGTAAAAATAAAGAAAAACCCTTGAATGAGTAGGTGTGTCCAAACGTTTGACTGGTAGTGTACATGTTACCTCAATTACCTCAACTATCTCGTACCGCTGCACATTGACTCTGTACCGGTACTACTTGTATACAGTCTCGTTACTGTATTTTATTCTGTTATTATTTCCTTTTCTCTTTTTTGCAAATGTTTCTTACTTTTTAACTGTGCATTATTGGGAAAAGGCTCATAGTAAGCATTTAACAGTAAAGTCTACGCCTGTTGTATGCGGCGCATGTGACAAATAATATTTTATTTTTATTTTATTTTATTTGAACCTAGAGTTAGGGTTAGTATAGAAAGAAAGGTTAACCGACAGTATATTCTTCCAGCCGACAGGCAGCATTGAGCATGATCCACCAGACCCATGTCGTAAAAGATTTACCCCATCTATTTGCAATAAATCAGAAACTCACACACACATTCACACACCTTCGACTAGTGTGTGCAAACACACACACACACACACACACACACACACACACGCACACACGCACACACACCTTCTGTGCCTTACCTGAAGGACTCTTTTAGCTGCTTCGTCAGGGAAGGGTGAGTGTCAGAGTAGTCCATTCTCTGAGCCAGCTCCTCCAGTCTCTGCTCATCCAGCACATCCCTCTCCACTCTGTACCCCCTAGCCTTCCGCCCCGTACCCATACCACCTCGTCTAATAACCTTACTTGACTATATATATAAGAACCCGGTTGGGCTATTTCGTCCTCCCTGTGTAAGCCGCTTGAAGTGCCTGTCAGTCCCCCTTTTGTACAATATGACAGGTGAAAGGGAGGTGTTTTCCAAACACCGAATAAAACAGGTTTACTAAAAAGTTTACTTTTTCACCCAAAGCACGGTGGGCATTTCCATTGACTGAGGTTCTGTCACTCTAAGAGATAAGAGTACTGTCACCACTCCCACTACATCTTTTAATCCTCCTTTATATGTGTGTGTCTGTGTGGAGGGGGTTCAGGGGTCAGGGGTTGATCGTTTGTAGGGCATAGCCTATAATGGCTAACTAGGAGGCATTTTTCCACCTCATATTTGGTCATTCAAAGTCATCAAGAGCCCCATTTCAGGATGTCCGGATTGCACTCCGGTCATAGGAAGGAGGTGTTTCCACCAGATTCCTTACACTGCAAAAGTGATGCTAATGAACCATGAAAACACCAGGCAGCCTGTAACTGATGACATACTAGTCCTGTAATCTATTACTGACAGCTCTAGTACAGTGGACAAACAGACACACACACAGGATATGGAAAAAGCAACATCAGGCAAATTATAGATTATTGACTTAAGGTGGAAGACGACATACTGTACATAGAGTGCCTTCAGAAAGTATTCACACCCCTTGACTTTTTCCACATTTTGAATTTAAATTGATTAAATTGAGATTTTGTGTCACTGATATACACACAATACCCCATACTGTCAAAGGGGAATTATATTTTTAGAAATGTTGACAAATTAATAAAAAATGAAAGCTGAAATGTCTCGAGTTAATAAGTATTGAACCCTTTTGTTATGGCAAAACTAAATAAGTTCATGAGTAAAAATGTGCTTAACAAGTCACATAATAAGTTCAATGGACTCACTGTGTGCAATAATAGTGTTTAACATGATTTTTAAATGACTACCCCTTCTCTGTACCCCACACATACAATTATCTGTAAAGTCCCTCAGTCGAGCAGTGAATTTCAAGTACAGATTCAACCATAAAGACCAGAGAGGTTTTCCAATGGTTCGCAAAGAAGATAAAAATTGGTAGATAAACATTTAAAAAGCAGACGTTGAATATGTCTTTGAGCATGGTGCAGTTATTAATTACACTTTGGATGGTGTATCAATACACCCAGTCACTACAAAGATACAGGCGACCTTCCTAACTAAGTTGCCAGAGAGGAAGGAAACCACTCAAGGATTTCACCATGAGCCCAATGGTGATTTTAAAACAGTTACAGAGTTTAATGGCTGTGATAGGAGAAAACTGAGGATGGATCAACAACATTGTAGTTACTCCAAAATAGTAAAATAAATGACAGAGTGAAAAGAAGGAAGCATGTACAGAATAAAAAAAATTCTCCCAAAACATGCATCCTGTTTGCAATAAGGCACTAAAGTAATACTGCAGAAAATGTGGCAAAGAAATTAACTTTTGGTTCTGAATAGAAAGTGTTATGTTTGGGGCAAATCCAACACATCACCGAGTACCACTATTCATATTTTTCAAGCATGGTTATGACAGTGATTCTGATCTAACCATAAATTAAGATGTTGTGCCACTGTAGCCTAGATGCGGCCTAGCCCTTTTAGGCTCACGATAACTAACTAGCTAACTTAGCTGATTCATTGTTGCCCATGCGAGGAAGTTAGGCTAGCAAGCATTTTAGCTAGGTAGCCTATGACAACAAAAACTAAAATCGTACTGTATGACAGAGCTATAGACCGTTTTGTCAACATGAAAGAGAGGAGGATGGCATTGGCTTTCAACTAGTCTACAAGTAGTGTGAGTCCCAAAAATGTTTTATTTGTGCGCACACGCACAAAAATCAGTACCATGGACAGCCACATGATATTTAGCAACATTGATTGGACTAAATCGTTTTTGGTATTTTTAAGTTTGTTTTTAGTGTATTAAACTGGTGCTGGAATAGCGGAGGCAGTGTCTGTTGTCTTTGTGCTGTCTTGCGGTAACTCCGTGGTTCTAAATCAGTAGTTGTTTAGTAAACTGTCGAACATTAACTTGCTTGACCATGTTGCAGGTCATATAACTGTTTGTTACATGCAATGTTTGCTTTGTTGACTTCACAGGACAGATGTTGCTCTCCAGTTTTGTGATGGAAGAAATGTATGTGTAGTTGAATTTATTCCGCCACTGTGTGACTGCTGCTTTTTGTTGTCACTGCCTTATTGTATAGCATGATGGCGTATGAACGAATGGGTTATAGAGCAAACAACGCAATTATCACAACATAGGTTGTAGTATCGATTTTTTACTGGCTTGGCTAGGCTTCCTCAGTGATTTTACCCACGCGCCGCTACTGATCTTTGTAGTGACTAGGTGTTTTGATACATCATCTACAGTGTAGTTAATAACTTCACCATGCTCAAAGGGATATTCAATGTCTGCTTTTTTTATTTTTACCGATCTACCAATAGGTGCCCTTATTTGCGAGGCATTGGAAAACCTCCCTGGTCTTTGTGGTTGAATCTGTGTTTGAAATTCACTGCTCGACTGAGGGACCTTAAAGATAATTGTATGTGTGGTGTACAGAGATGAGGTAGTCATTCAAAAATCATGTTATCATTATTGCACACAGTGAGTCCATTGAACTTACAGTGGGGGAAAAAAAGTATTTAGTCAGCCACCAATTGTGCAAGTTCTCCCACTTAAAAAGATGACAGAGGCCTGTAATTTTCATCATAGGTACACGTCAACTATGACAGACAAAATGAGGGAAAAAATTCCAGAAAATCACATTGTAGGATTTTTTATGAATTTATTTTCAAATTATGGTGGAAAATAAGTATTTGGTCAATAACAAAAGTTTCTCAATACTTTGTTATATACCCTTTGTTGGCAATGACACAGGTCAAACGTTTTCTGTAAGTCTTCACAAGGTTTTCACACACTGTTGCTGGTATTTTGGCCCATTCCTCCATGCAGATCTCCTCTAGAGCAGTGATGTTTTGGGGCTGTCGCTGGGCAACACGGACTTTCAACTCCCTCCAAAGATTTTCTATGGGGTTGAGATCTGGAGACTGGCTAGGCCACTCCAGGACCTTGAAATGCTTCTTACGAAGCCACTCCTTCGTTGCCCGGGCGGTGTGTTTGGGATAATTGTCATGCTGAAAGACCCAGCCACGTTTCATCTTCAATGCCCTTGCTGATGGAAGGAGGTTTTCACTCAAAATCTCACGATACATGGCCCCATTCATTCTTTCCTTTACACGGATCAGTCGTCCTGGTCCCTTTGCAGAAAAACAGCCCCAAAGCATGATGTTTCCACCCCCATGCTTCACAGTAGGTATGGTGTTCTTTGGATGCAACTCAGCATTCTTTGTCCTCCAAACACGACGAGTTGAGTTTTTACCAAAAAGTTATATTTTGGTTTCATCTGACCATATGACATTCTCCCAATCCTCTTCTGGATCATCCAAATGCACTCTAGCAAACTTCAGACGGGCCTGGACATGTACTGGCTTAAGCAGGGGGACACGTCTGGCACTGCAGGATTTGAGTCCCTGGCGGCGTAGTGTGTTACTGATGGTAGGCTTTGTTACTTTGGTCCCAGCTCTCTGCAGGTCATTCACTAGGTCCCCCCGTGTGGTTCTGGGATTTTTGCTCACCGTTCTTGTGATCATTTTGACCCCACGGGGTGAGATCTTGCGTGGAGCCCCAGATCGAGGGAGATTATCAGTGGTCTTGTATGTCTTCCATTTCCTAATAATTGCTCCCACAGTTGATTTCTTCAAACCAAGCTGCTTACCTATTGCAGATTCAGTCTTCCCAGCCTGGTGCAGGTCTACAATTTTGTTTCTGGTGTCCTTTGACAGCTCTTTGGTCTTGGCCATAGTGGAGTTTGGAGTGTGACTGTTTGAGGTTGTGGACAGTTGTCTTTTATACTGATAACAAGTTCAAACAGGTGCCATTAATACAGGTAACGAGTGGAGGACAGAGGAGCCTCTTAAAGAAGAAGTTACAGGTCTGTGAGAGCCAGAAATCTTGCTTGTTTGTAGGTGACCAAATACTTATTTTCCACCATAATTTGCAAATAAATTCATTAAAAATCCTACAATGTGATTTTATGGATTTTTTTTCCTCAATTTGTCTGTCATAGTTGGCGTGTACATATGATGAAAATTACAGGCCTCTCTCATCTTTTTAAGTGGGAGAACTTGCACAATTGGTGGCTGACTAAATACTTTTTTCCCCCACTGTATTATGTGACTTGTTAAGCACATTTTTACTTCTGAACGTATTTAGGCTTGCCATAACAAAGGGGTTAAATACTTATTGATTCAAGACATTTCAGCCTTTCATTTTTAATAAATGTGTAAAAATTTGACATTAGGGGGTATTGTGTGTAGGCCAGTGACCAAAAAATCTCAATTCTATCCATTTTAAATTCAAGTTGTAACACAACAAAATGTGTAAAAAGTCAAGGGGTGTGAATACTTTCTGAAAGCATACATATAGCATTTTCTGATTTAAAGGCTACACAGGATATCACAGAGAAATGCCCTCATTAAAACTATTTTAGTTTTGCAATAGCTGTAGGGGTCATATGGGTCATTCATTTCTCTGTTCAGGATGTTTACACCATAGAGATCCTATGAAATTACTAATTCCTAATTCTATGGTTTACACCACCTGAGGTTAATATAAGTTAATGTAAGGCCCTCCACGTGCAGCTACTTCCTGCTTCCTGTTCACAACAGGAAGTACTGTTAACTGTCACTCGTGTTCTTGTCAAGCACCCTGTCTGTGACACACATCCTTTCTCTATAAGCAGTGCTCTAGCCATCTATTGGTTGTAAAATTTAGAAGGGCGATGATATGACACATGTTAACAACAATCAATGGTATATGATCAACGGTATAACTGGTGTGAGCCCATCTTCTCTCTTCCTCAGATTACTGAGCCATCTTAAAAAAAAAAAAATGAAGGCAGACCTCTAGTTGAAGTATTTCACTATCCTGACGTCCGTTATGTTGCCTTTTTATTTATTTTATTGTGCCATTTCCGGTTTTCCGGTTTTGAAAATGTGTAAAAGATGACTTTGTGTGCACTTTGGTTTTAAAAATGTTTCAGAGCACTTGAAAGTGAAGCAATGCCAGAAGTTGAGTGAAAGTCGCTCTGGATAAGAGAGTCTGCTAAATGACTAAAATGTAAATGTAAATGTAATATTTTAACATAAATCTTTTTGATTGGTATGAACGAAGTATCATCTGCATCATTGTTAATTATTATGATTATTACGAATATTGTGATTATTATCATTTAAAATGACTGTAGTCACTTTAAGAGAGTGATGTCATGAAATTCGAATCCAAGCCACAAGCTGGTTCCATGTGCCATTCCACAGATACATAAGCCTACACATGATCGAGACACCCCCAAAATATAGCAATAGAAAAGAATAGCAATTATACTTGTGAAATTCGACATGAGCATTGCTCAACATTACACAACATTATCATGTGTGAGTCTCCTTCGTCCCTACATGCATGCCGCCTCTGACCCAGTTGCCGTTCCATTGGCCATATCACAGTCTATTTTAAGGTTTGTTGCTCAGCTCAGAGGGCCAGGGCATTCAGGCAGGCAGCGAGGGAAGGGGAGGGTAAACAGTGCTGTGTTTCAGAGGGGATAGCTAGGCTGCCTGTCTATCTCTGACCCTAATTCCAGATGCATTCAGCCACATTAACAACAACGCCTGCAGCCTGGCTGGCTGAGGAAAATGACGGTCTACTAGAAAAGGAGGATTCCCACTGACCGGTAGGACGGGATGGCATTGGCTTGGCTACTGTGTGATCAAAGAGCAAAAGAGTAAAGGGGTGAAATACTTTAGTAACACAATGCATGGTGGGAGATGATATTGATGATATATCCCTGTTTAACATGGATTTCTGGTTTCACTGCGGCAGACAGGGCATTGTTGCTGTACTGCTCATGCTGTGGTCTAAGTGTCAGTGTGGGTAATGGGAATTCCAGTAAGAAAGGCTCTTCATACTTACTGATTTATATTGACAATGACAGAACTACAAAGTTGAAGATAGTGACTGGCCTTTTAACTCTCAAATCTTTACAGAATGACTTAGATTACAACAAAACTCTACTGACATAAACGTAAACGATCTACTGGGCTTGATCAGATCAACATAGAACTTTCTTTCTTTCTCTTCTTTTCAGATAAAGAACCTCCTTGTTTACACTGCCACTTAGTGATATTTATTTATATTTTATTTATTTCTATTCTATTTTAATTTTTCTTTATTTTTTCTGAGTTATTACTACTCCTGAATAGACATTCGAACCAAATGGATCTGAGAGCTAAACACAGTCTGGGTCTTTTGGACCAGCTGAGGAAGATGAGGGAGACAGAGAAGCTGACAGATGTGGTGCTAGTGGCTGAGGGCATCAGCTTCCCCTGCCACCGCGTGGTCCTCTCAGCCTTCAGCCCTTACTTCCGGGTTATGTTCACCTGCGGCCTGCGGGAGTGTAGTACTAGGGAAGTGTTTCTGCGTGACACACCAGCCGATAGCCTGGGTCTATTGTTAAACTACATGTATTGTTCCGAGCTCCCGCTCAACAACGCCAATGTACAAGGGGTCTCGGTCGCTGCCTTCCTCCTGCAGATGGACGAGGTGTTCAACCGCTGCCAGAGCCACATGAGGGAAAACATGGACGCCTTCAACTGCTTAGGGGTGTACTACTTTTCCCGCGACCTGGGAGCCGAGGAGCTGGCCGACCATGCCCAGAGATACCTGCGGACGCACTTCGTTCACGTGTGTATGAGCGAGGAGATTCTGGAACTAGAGGCCCACCAACTGGGGGCGCTGCTGAGCTCCGACGACCTCAACGTGTCGCGGGAGGAGACCATCCTGGACATGGTGCTGCGCTGGGTCAGGCAGGACACTCCGGGGGATGGGGTGGAGGACAGGCGGAGTAGGCACCTGGCTGAGCTCCTGAGGAAGGTGCGTCTCGCCTTGGTGGCCCCTGACTACCTGAGGGAGGCTATGAAGAGGAATATGTCTCTGTTGGCAGATGCAGAGTGTCTGGAGATGATGGAGGAGGCTCTGGAGGCCACAGGGATGCACCCGGCCTCCTCACCCCGTAAACTGAAGCTCCGCTATGGGATGGAGACCACGGATCTGCTGCTCTGCATCGGCAACGAGGGCGGAGGGATCCGATCACGGTATGGAAATTATTCTGATCGCAGCTTCTGCTACGCCCCCTCCACGGGCCGCACCCACTACATCACGTCCCCACGCTACGGAGACGTTCTGGGATTCGTGTGTGCGGGGGTCGTCACCGAAGGCAACGAGATTGTGGTGGCCGGGGAGGCAGGGGTGAGGAAAATGGCCAGGCAGACGGACAGGAATGTGGAGATATTCAGGTAGGAATCTGGAAGAACGGTATCATGAGCTCTGTGTGTGAATGAGATCATCAACAATAATATAACTATTCGTCAGAGATGAGAGACAGGTACTATTTATGTGCTGTGGCCAGGTAGAGTGTGTGGCCAGGTAGAGTGTGTTGACAGGTAGAGTGTGGGGCCAGGTGGAGTGTGTTGACAGGTAGAGTGTGTGGCCAGGTAGAGTGTGTGGCCAGGTGGAGTGTGTTGACAGGTAGAGTGTGGGGCCAGGTAGAGTGTGTGGCCAGGTAGAGTGTGGGGCCAGGTGAAGTGGGTTGACAGGTGGAGTGTGTTGACAGATAGAGTGTGGGGCCAGGTGGAGTGTTTGGCCAGGTAGAGTGTGGGGCCAGGTGGAGTGTGTGGCCAGGTGGAGTGTGTTGACAGGTAGAGTGTGTTGACAGGTAGAGTGTGGGGCCAGGTGGAGTGTGTGACCAGGTAGAGTGTGGGGCCAGGTGGAGTGTGTGGCCAGGTGGAGTGTGTTGACAGATAGAGTGTGGGGCCAGGTGGAGTGTTTGGCCAGGTAGAGTGTGGGGCCAGGTGGAGTGTGTGGCCAGGTGGAGTGTGTTGACAGGTAGAGTGTGTTGACAGGTAGAGTGTGTGGCCAGGTGGAGTGTGTTGACAGGTAGAGTGTGGGGCCAGGTAGAGTGTGGGGCCAGGTAGAGTGTGGGGTCAGGTAGAGTGTGGGGCCAGGTGGAGTGTGGGGCCAGGTAGAGTGTGGGGCCAGGTGGAGTGACAGTGTGAGAATGATTGTCAGTAACACCAGACCAGAGGCCTGCCTGTGTTTATTTTAGCATGGTGGAGTCTCACTAAAATAGGATGAATCTCCTAACCCCTGTCCCTGACTTTGGTTTTGTTGTCCTCTTCAGGTATAGGGTGGAGGCCCAGGGGACCTGGGAGCACCTGAGCTCAGCAGAGTACAGAGACTCGTACGCTCTGGGGGCACTGGGTGATACTATTTACCTGCTGGGAGGCCAGATGAAGCTGAAGAACCAGTACCTCATCACCAACTCTGTGGAGCGCTGGTCCCTGCAGGGCGGGCCCTGGCGTAGCGCCGCCCCGCTACCCATACCGCTGGCCTATCACAGCGTGGTCCGACTGAAGGACCACCTCTACGTGCTCGGGGGTCGAACTCCACAGGTAATGAACTAAAGAGAAGGGGTTTGATATAGATGAACAGTCAGTGAACGCTAGACTCTATTAGGTGTGTGTGTGTGTGTGTGTGTGTGTGTGTGTGTGTGTGTGTGTGTGTGTGTGTGTGTGTGTGTGTGTGTGTGTGTGTGTGTGTGTGTGTGTGTGTGTGTGTGTGTGTGTGTGTGTGTGTGTGTGTGTGTGTGTGTGTGTGTGTGTGTGTGCAATGTGGGGGCAGGAAGGCCAAGGGGGCATTTCACATTTGTTTAATTCAGTCTCACAACACCCATGTATTTTTGGAGTCCCTCACTCTCACTCATGTACACACTGTGCTTGACGCTGCGCAGCTTTGACAGCAAAGAGACACACTATCTGTGTCAGTGTGCGACTGTGAGCCCGCTCTCTATCCCCTCCTTCTTCTCTAAACTCTGCACCTGTTCTGTCACTTCCCCTGGCAGTCCTGGCGGATGGACGACGAGCCAGACCGCTTGAGCAACCGTCTGCTAGAGTACGACCCTGAGACAAACAAGTGGACAGAGCTGGGTCCCATGAAGTACTCCAAGTATCGCTGTGGTGCTGTGGCGCTCAATGGAGAAATCTATGTGATGGGTGAGATTAAGTAAATAAATACCACAATTGGCCGTTTGCTCTCAATTAGTTTCATGATGGTCATGACGATGATGGTCAGTTTGTATCAGCAACCAGTGATTATTCCTCATAATTTGATCTCTAGTATCTGTTTTTTCCTAGAGCAGTGTTTCTAGTCCCAGGATCAATTTAGTTTTTGCTTTAGCACTACTGCGCACACCTGATTTAAATCATCAAAGCTTCATGATGAGTTGAGCATTTGAATCAGCTGTGTAATGCTAGGGCCAAAACCAAAATGTCCACACTTCTGGGTCCCTAGGACCAGGATTAAGAAACACTGTCCTAGTGAAACCCCTTAACCCCTCAACCTTCAACATAAACAGTATGTTTGGACAAATCAGATTTCAAGAGTTATTTTTAAACTAACACTTGACAACACAAGGAATAAATGTTACCGTACTAACCCAGTTGTGTTCTAACAGGAGGTATCGGCTGTGAGGGGGTTGATCGTGGGCAGTCCCGTCGTTGCCTTGATGCTGTGGAGATCTACAACCCTGATGGAGACTTCTGGAGGGATGGGCCCACTATGCCCTCTCCACAGCTATCCCTACGCAGCAATGCCTCCAACGCCGCGGTGGTGGGGGGCAAGCTTTATGTCTGTGGATACTACAAGGGGGCGGGTAACTAAACCAGAGATTATCCATTATATTGACCAAAAAGTGGCTGCTCTAACAATGAAAATAAATGTCTTCAAAAATGGAAGGCAGTCGGGAGGAGGCAAGATCAGGCGGGACCATTCTAGCCAATGAGAGGGCAGACGCGTGTGAACAACAGGCACAACTTCGATATAAAGTGTTTTTTCTCAAAGTTGCTAGAATGTCACGTGTCTTACTTATATCAGTACACTCGTAACACCCTAAGTATTATGAAACTTCTATTAGATCAAATAAACCACATGTAGCAAATAAGCCATTAATTTTTTTGCAAACCAAATTGGACACTCTCATTGACCTCCATACAAAAACTCCTCGCTTCATGAGCGAAAAAAATAAGGAAAAGAAACGCCACCTGCTGGAGAAGACAGATTTTGGGCCCAGTTATCCCTCTCGCTTAGCCTCTTCCTCTCTGACTAAACCTACTTTCCTTTCCACTGTTCACAAAACTGTGACATCACGTGGCACAGGTTTGAGTAAAAGATGACCTGTCCCTTTAAGAACTAAACAAGTTGACTGTAGATGAATGCTGTTTCTTTTGATTGCCACACCACTCTTTAAAATGCCAGCATTCTCCACCATGTGGTAGCACACTCCATGTGTTGCCACAACAGTTATTCTGAAATCAGTTATATTGTCAGTAAAGTGATTCCAATAGTGACAACAATTATATTCCTGGCCAATCCTAATCCCTGTCTCCCTCAGATCGTCATGAAGACATAATCAAGGACATCCTGGAACTCGACCCGTGGGAGAACCGCTGGACCGTGGTGGCCCGCCGCGTTCTGATGCATGATGCCTACGACGTCTGCTTGGTGGCAAGCCTCAATCCACGGGAGCTCATGTCTCCCCCGGCAGACCTAGTAACTCAGTGACACTCACCCACCCTAAGGTCTAATGACCCCTTCTTAGCTAAGAGCAGCTTGGGCAATAATGATGTATTCTGAAAGCTGATAATATTGAGCAACAAGACCTTTCTTTCCACTGCTGTGGGCCAGGAGTCAAAATGCAGTAATGCAGTAGTGCTGGCTGATCCTGGTGGTGCTCGTTGACAGACATTACGCAGTTAGTGTTGACCTGAGTGGGGCACTGCACAAAATAACATTCTGCACTTGTCTTAAACTGTATATGACCTACTGAGTTGCACATTTAGAAGTAAACATTGTATCTGAATATCATACCTTAGTGGGTTTTGTGACACTGAAATATAGCTTGTAAATATAATTGTTTTGCAATTTTGTTTTGTATGTTGCAGTAAAATGCCTCTGCCTCATCTTTAGAATATTGGAAAGAAAACCAGACAGGTCCTTCACAATCAACTTATTTTATATCCATTTTCCACTTTATTCAAGATTATATTTTTGTCATGCAAATAAGGCTTACATTACATTGAGTCTTTGCTCAGGCTTGAACATGTGCTTGTGGAGCTAGTGTACAACACTAGAATTGCAAAAACATGACGAGAGAGGGTCCTACACGTGACGTGAGAGGGCACTGTCATGTGTTGGACTAGTTATGTGTTGCCCTTTTCCTGTATGCCGACAGAAGAGATGTCCGTTAATTAAACGCTATAAAAACCTCAAAAACCACCAATTATACTGTCATGTAGAAAGCTTTATTGGTAATATAGTACAAAGGTTAACGCCTGTCACCCTCGTGGTTGACTTTAACACGGTCAAGACTTTTACTTATAAATCTGGTCTTACAATTACTTCCCTCTTTTCATCCCGTTTTCTTTTGTGGGCATGATTTCTGTACATGTTATCCCACAATTTCTTTAAAAAATAACTTAGAAACATTAACTAACTCATTTGTAGAATATGTTTAATCTTAATGAGAAAGTCTGATATAACATTTACAGTGTAAAGGGTTTTGAAAACACAAACATAGGGAATCGATGGAAAATAACATTTTGACTGTGAATTTTGTTGTCAAAACCACAGTGAGGTCAACAGTGAGGTCAACCAAACACAACAACAGCTTGTCAAACAACTCCCTCCTCAATACCTTCCTACACTGACATCCTGATTCCCCATCAGACATCAGTCAGAATCACAGTTCATGTCAAACAGCTGCCATAAGCCTCTGTTTCTCTTTGAGACAGCCTGGGGCGATGGTGGCGATGGTGTCTTTTCCCAGGCAGGCCTGGCGTTGTTCCCTGTGGCCCCGCACACAGAGCTGTTACTTTCCTGGGACCACAAGCTGAAAGGGTTGCGGTAGCCTCCAGTAGCTTTCTTAGACTTTTCCTCCTTGTCCTGCTGTCGTTTCTGCGCTTCTGGTTTGAGTGTGTCCATTTCCATCCTGTTGGGATCATGCTGCTCCTTGCCAGTCGATCCAGCTCCCTGCCTCCTTTGGTTTTTGAGGGGCTGTCGGTTCTCATCCCGACCCCTGCCCGCTAATCCACCGTTACTCCTGGTCTGTGGTGGCATCAGTGCCCTCCTCCTGCTTCTGAAGGGCTGTTTCCTCTGTCCCTGGCCTCTCTGGGTGAACCTACGTCCAGCCATGGTGCTCCTGCCCCTGGGGCTCTCTGAGGGGACCGCTGCAGGCTCGCTGTGGTCGGGCTGGCTGCTCTGCTCCGGGTCGCAGTGGGGGTTCATGATGGTGCGGGTGCTCCTGATGGTCACGTCCTGTAGAAGCGCGTAGGCTCTGCTGGGGTTCTGAAAGCCCTGCATGGGGTACTGTAGAGCTGGAGCGCCCCCCGATGTGCTGGGGTCTTGTAGGCCCTGCATAGGATAGTGTAGGGCTGTGGCACCTCTTCCTGGTTCATGAGTCACAGCGGTAGAGCATGTGCGGTATGGGTACACCCCCTGCCAGGAAGTCTTAGCCGGCTCATCCAGCACCATCTGGCTACACCGCTCCAGCTGATCCTCCTCCACCTTCCCCATCATCACAGGAGGAGGGTACAGAGCTCTGGGGGCTGTGGCCTGGCCCTGGTCACATGTCTCTGAGGGTCCTCCTCTGGGTCCTCTATCTGAAGGGGGCAGCCGCCCTGCTGCCTCTCCTCCCGTCTCCCCTACACCACATGATGCCACTGCTTTACAAGGCGCTGTGACCGCTGTCGCACCACAGAGACGTACACCTTCGAAGTACCTCTTCTCCTCACTCACCAGGCAGAACCTCTCTACCAGTCCTGGGGATGTCTGGACCGTGCTGTCTGTCACCCTGACAGGTGTGGGGAGGAGTTCGGACCCGTGCTGGGAAACCAAGGTGCCTAGAAGGGACAGGGCTTCTCCTAGCATGCTTTGATCTCGGCTCTGCTCATGTCTCAGGACCTCCAGATTCTGCTGCAGGCCCTGCATGTGGGAGCCGAGTGCTGTAGTCGCCACACCCGTCTAGGACAGAATAGAAGACAACAATATATGACTAATAGCAAAGACCTCAAAATCAAATGTAGATATCTAACATGAAATGATCAACATTAAGTATGTCAAATAGTATTCTCAGCACCCAGAATCAAATATTTTGTGTGCCGGCCGGCCAACTAATGTTTTGTTTGTCACGAGAGACTAGTCATATGTTATCTCACACTCACCCCACAGACTCTCATTAAGTGTAAATTCAACATCAGGACGAAGGCTTGACAATACAGAGTTATAAATGCCACCTGTCCTCACCTTGGCAGCGCTGTCCTCCATCTCTTTCAGCATCTGATTCTGGGAGCTCAGTTTATTCAGCATGGCCTCAAACTGCTGTGCAAAGCCATCCTGCAGACTGGCTATGTTTTGCTGCACTGTAAAATATGTTGAAAGGTAACCCCAATGAATACACAATCCATTCCATAGCAATCAAGACCTATGTAAAAAAAAGTAATAGCCACAGTACACACTGCCCATTATAGCTCATTCATGATCATTTCAAAATCGAGGTATTAGATCAAATATTTCTAAAATAAAATATATGCATGAGATAATTTCACTACTGAACTCTATCTACTGGTCCCAGAGATTATTTCCTTTATAAACATGTTAATAATGAGCAATGCACAATAGATTCTAATAAAAGTTTAGAGAAATTGTTCAAAGCAACCCACATGTCTTTGCAAAATCTGCAAAATCTTTGTTGCCTGTTGTAGTGCTCTCATCAATGTGATTTACAGAGAGCTTAATCTGAAACACACATAGCATACGGGTTTATCATTATTATGAAAATCAAATCAAATGTTTTGGGTCACATTCACATATTTAGCAGATGTTATTGCGGGTGTAGCGAAATGCTTGTGTTATTATGAAAATGAGTACCAGACCAGCAGGACCATTCTGCCCCAAAAAACTATTCTGGATTGTTCACTTACATTTTCAAGTTTTTCACGAAATTGTAGAAATCCAGAGGTGAGAATGTCACTGATAAAACAGACAGGACAATAATTAAACCACAACATACCTCATATTGTTTGTATCTTTCACACAATAAAATCCCTGCAGAAACAGGTGACACTCATAAGGCACAGCTACCTCTCACACTTTTCTTTTGCCTTTTTCTTGTCCTCTTCAAACCTGTCCAGTACGCCAATTGCTTTGCCACTTGTAAAGCTTGGTGCCTTCCCTTTGTCCTTTCCGTCTCCGAACAGGAATGGTTTGGAATGGTAATTGCTTAAAATCTTTGGCTCACTTGCCTGAAACACAATGACCGGTTCATCTTAAAACAAAGAAAAGCTCAGAAAGTTTTGAGTTTGTTCTTGAGCTCATCTGATAAGGTGAATTGCTAAATGTTGTGTTATAAATTGATGGGATACTACATATTGTGAGCAAAATACATGCATTCACTGAGCTCAGGACTGAGGAACAAAGGTGGACATGAAGAGAAAATTAGATGGTTTTCCAAGTTGAAGAAAATAGGGGCTAATAGACCTACCTCCTGTGACTGTGAGCTACCAGATGTTCTGTTTGAAAAGCCCATGTCCTGTGACATGCCCTGGGAGTTTTCAGGCCAAAACTGGGATCCAAACAGGAACTGTGAGTCTGTCAAGCTGGAGTAGTCACTGGTAGCGCCATTCCTGCTGGTGATCTTGGGCACACTACATGTTATAAACACACACACACTTAATTCATTTTAGGGGCTACACAAACATTTATGCTAACTAGCTACATTTCAATAATAATATATTTTAGAAAGCTGCATTAATTGTCTGCTGCAGTGCACCTTAGCTAACAGTTATTTAATCAATTGTGGGGGGGGATTATCTTCTTGGCTAAGGTTAGTTATGCTTACATGGATCCAGTTGGGATGCTTAAAATCTCTTTGATATTCCACACATTGGGATTCATTGTTATTTCTGTTTGAGTAAAGATCAAAAATAATTACATTACAAACCAATTACAAATGACAAAAAAAGAAAACACAAACCAGCCAGCAAATGTATTAGCTAGCCAGCTAGTTTGCTGGTAATGTTAGCATGTTAACGTTACTCTTCATGGACTTCATGTCCTGGCTACTAGCTTGTTCTGCTTTTTCCAACAAAGTTAGCTACTCACCACTGTGGTCATGTAGTAGCCAACTATGTAGTTGGCTAGCAAGGCAATTATATGCTACTTCAAAAAAATATATGGCTAATGGGAAACTTGTTGTAGTTAGCTAGCTCCTTTTCGGTAATCAATAACACATGAACACAGCTGGTTGTTTGATATGAATAACGGTTATATTGCAGAGGTTGGCTACCGTGGACAAACGTTTCATCACGTTCAGGTGCGATCAAGGGAGAGGCACGTGGCGATTACCTCCCGCCTTCGCAACTTTTCCCTCTCAATCTTGCCTCATAATGCTTCAGCAAAGATCTTTCCCCAACTGTAACGTAGACTTCAGTGACGTCAGGGGACGTGACATGGTTTTAATGTCTATGGACGTGACCGGATCATGGGTAATGTATTTTCTAATAAATAAATGTTTTATGCTCATTGACATTATGTCATAAAGCATGTTTCCTAAACCCCAGATACAGGGATGTGCACAGACCTTTGAGGGGGTAGGTGCAAAAATAAAATACCCCCCACAGAAAATCTACTTTCAAAACTCAAAATGCATAACATACCGACTGCATCTGTAGCCAAAATGTCAACCTTTAATAGGCTTATTTAGCAATCTAGTGCCAGTGACTCCTAGGCCTAAAGACGACGAGAGATGATTGACATCGGGAAAAGTGGCTGGCTATGAGCCACTGACTTATAATAAGAACGCTACGAGCTGATCAGAACGAATTATGTCGTAAATATGTTAGCTATGCTGTTGAAACAAACTCGTTTTTAATTGATTTGAGTTTGTTCTGCTGCTGACATCTGCCTCTTACTAACGAGCAGTCGCGAAATGCCTAATTATTTATGTAGCCCTACAGTGAGCGACACACACATACGACAGATCCAACTCAAAAGTAGCGGAACAGTATTCAAGTCTCCCTGCCCGGCGCCCGCAGCCAGTGGCAACTGCATGCAAGTCAGACGAGTGTTCTCTATACAGACCCGAGTTACGCGCACATAAATGACACTTATTTACCTTTTGATGTATCTTTCTCTATGCCTATATCTGACCATGAATTTAAGCATGGGGAAACGCGTGTGCCAGCCAGGTATTCCTTTGGGGTGGAGATGACAGAAATGGAGGTGGCAGGTATGGTTTGTATACCAATATTCGATATTCTGACCTTGACTTAATTCTCTCATAATTCCACCACCTTTGTACTCGAAGAAACCATGAATAAAACATACTTTCTCGTTTCCGATAGAAATAACACCATTCTCTATGCACTGTAATTTATAAATTGATAAGAGCTATTGATAAGAGCTAGGTAAATGAGTAATCCTTTTGGAGAAGGGGATTGTAAATACAAATGGCAATTGTTGTAGATGATTTTTCCTTCTGATTGGAGGAGACGAATGTGAAACCAGTCATGGAAGCAAGCTGAAAATAATATCCAGGGGTGAATTAGATTTAATTTCTTCCCGGTACTGGGACCTCCTATGTGTTCACTTGCGTAATTGTTTTTATGGGCTTAATCATATAGAATTACATATACACCGAGTATACCAAACATTACGAACACCTTCTTAATATTGAGTTGCAGTGTAGAATCCCTAATACTTTAATAGGATCTCTATGGGCCTAATAGTAAAGATTTGCCTTATAGCCGCATGAAGTACAGGTGTTGAGGGTGCTGCAGCACCTCCTAATAATTCGAAATAAAATTCAAAAAAATAAATAAAATAATCACACTACCAGTCAAAAGTTTAGGCACACCTACTCATTCAAGGGTTTTTCTTTAATTCTACTATTTTTTACATTGTAGAATAAAAGTGAAGACATCAAATCTATGAAATAACACATATGGAATCATATAGTAACCAAAAAAGTGTTAAACAAATCTAAATATATTTTATATTTGAGATTCTTCAAATAGCCACCCTTTCCCTTGATGACAGCTTTGGTAGTCACCTGGAATGCATTTCAATTAACAGGTGCGCCTTCTTAATTTGTGGAATTTCTGTCCTTCTTAATGCGTTTGAGCCAATCAGTTGTGTTGTGGCAAGGTAGTGGTGGTATACAGAAGATAGCCCTATTTGGTAAAAGACCAAGTCCATATTATGGCAAGAACAGCTCAAATAAGCAAAGAGAAACGACAGTCCATCATTACTTTAAGACATGAATGTCAGTCAATAAGGAAGATTTCAAGAACTTTCTTCAAGTGCAGTCGCAAAAACCATCAAGCGCTATGATGAAACTGGCTCTCATAAGGACCGCCACAGGAATGGAAGACCCAGAGTTACCTGCAGAGGATAAGTTCATTAGAGTCACCAGCCTCAGAAATTGCAGCCAAATAAATGCTTCACAGAGTTCAAGTAACATACACATCTCAACATCAACTGCTCAGGCCTTCATGGTTGAATTGCTGCAAAGAAACCACTACTAAAAGGACACCAATAAGAAGAAGAGACTTGCTTGGGCCAAGAAACACGAGCAATGGACATTAGACAGGTGGAAATGTGTCCTTTGGTCTGGAGTCCAAATTGGACCGCCGTGTCTTTGTGAGACGCAGTGTGGGTGAACGGATGATCTCCACATGTGTATTTCCCACCGTAAGCATGGAGGAGGAGGTGTTATGGTGTGGGGGGTGCTTTGCTGGTGACACTGTCTGTGATTTAATTAGAATTCAAGGCACACTTAACCAGCATGGCTACCACAGCATTCTGCAGCGATACGTCATCCCATCTGGTTTGGGCTTAGTGGGGCTATCATTTGTTTTTCAACAGGACAATGACCCAACACACCTCCAGGCTGTGTAAGGGCTATTTTACCAAGAAGGAGAATGATGGAGTGCTGCATCAGATGACCTGGCCTCCACAATCCCCCGACCTCAACCCAATTGAGATGGTTTGGGCTGAGTCGGACCGCACAGTCAAGGAAAAGCAGCCAACGTGCTCAGCATATGTGGGAACTCCTTCAAGACTGTTGGAAAAGCATTCCAGGTGAAGCTGGTTGAGAGAATGCCAAGAGTGTGCAAAGCTGTCATCAAGGCAAATGGTGGAAGAAGAATCTAACATATATTTTTATTTGTTTAACACTTTTTTGGTTACTACATGATTCCATATGTGTTATTTCATAGTTTGGATGTTTTCACTATTATTCTACAATGTAGAAAATAGTAAAAATAAAGAAAAACCTTTGAATGAGTAGGTGTGTCCAAACTTTTGACTGGTAATGTAAATAAAACTAATTTGTGAACTATGCCTTTATTACTCCTGTATTAGTGTTGAAAATACTCCTCAGCACTTTCACTCCTGAGCATATCAACATGACAGGCTTTGTGTCATAGATACAAGGAGGACAACTAAATCAATTGCCACCTTAAAGATATTGAATATAAATTCAACAATATCCTCCTGAAAAATGCTATAGAATTCACTAATAAGTGCATAATTCCCTGGAGATTTGTTTTTTTTAACTTACTGATCCATTTATTAATTTCAATGATATAAATAAAATCATCACAATACTTTTTGAAGTCTTCATCTATGAACTCAATGTAATATCGCAGTAAAGGATGTGATCACATACAGTTGAAGTCAGAAGTTTACATACACCTTAGCAAATACATTTAAACTCAGTTTTTCACAATTCTTGACATTTAATCCTAGTAAAAATTCCCTGTTTTAGGTCAGTTAGGATCACCACTTTATTTTAAGAATGTGAAATGTCAGAATAATAGTAGAGAGAATGATTTATTTCAGCTTGTATTTCTTTCAGCACATTCCCAGTGGGTCAGAAGTTTACATACACTCAATTAGTATTTGGTAGCATTGCCTTTAAATTGTTTAACTTGGGTCAAACGTTTCGGGTAGCCTTCCACAAGCTTCCCACAATAAGTTGGGTGAATTTTGGCCCATTCCTCCTGACAGAGCTGGTGTAACTGAGTCAGGTTTGTAGGCCTCCTTGCTCGCACATGCTTCTTCAGTTCTGCCCACAAATCTTCTATAGGATTAAGGTCAGGGCTTTGTGATGGCCACTCCAATACCTTGACTTTGTTGTCCTTAAGCCATTTTGCCACAACTTTGGAAGTATGCTTGGGGTCATTGTCCATTTGGAAGACCCATTTGCGACCAAGCTTTAACTTCCTGACTGATGTCTTGAGATGTTGCTTCAATATATCCACATAATTTTCCTTCCTCATGATGCCATCTATTTTGTGAAGTGCACCAGTCCCTCCTGCAGCAAAGCACCCCCACAGCATGATGCTGCCACCCCCGTGCTTCACGGTTGGGATGGTGTTCTTCGGCTTGCAAGCAGCCCCCTTTTTCCTCCAAACATAACAATGGTCATTATGGCCAAACAGTTCTATTTTTGTTTCATCAGACCAGAGGACATTTCTCCAAAAAGTACGATCTTTGTCCCCATATGCAGTTGCAAACCGTAGTCTGGCTTTTTTATGGCGGTTTTGGAGCAGTGGTTTCTTCCTTGCTGAGCGGCCTTTCAGGTTGTGTCGATATAGGACTCGTTTTACTGTGGATATAGACACTTTTGTACCTGTTTCCTCCAGCATCTTCACAAGGTCCTTTGCTGTTGTTCTGGGATTGATTTGCACTTTTCGCACCAAAGTATGTTCATCTCTAGGAGACAGAACGCGTCTCCTTCCTGAGCGGTATGACGGCTGCGTGGTCCCATGGTGTTTATACTTGCGTACTATTGTTTGTACAGATGAACTTGGTACCTTCAGGCGTTTGGAAATTGCTCCCAAGGATGAACCAGACTTGTGGAGGTCTACAATTCTGAGGTCTTGGCTGAT